CTCAATTGGACTTGAGCTGTGAAGAATAAAAGACGTGGTGGAGGAAGTGTTAAATTATATCTTATATATAATTGCAGGCTTGGTAGGTGTTACTGGAACCTACTGTAGAGGGTACAACTCCCTCCATGTATCCCTCTCTCTTCTTATCTCACACTCTTCTCTCTCGTCAATTTCTCCTTCCTAAACCTTACGCCATTCCATGGCTCCTATTCCTACCTAGCTCATTTTAACATGATATCAGAGCAGGTTGCTCTTCCTGGGCTTGCTAATCACGCTTCCGCCGCGCACTCCTCCTCTCCCTCTCGCGCTGCCATGGCGGCCACGTCGTGCTGCTGTGCGGCGTCGTCGTGCCGCGGCCGCGTTGTGCTGCCGTGGCCGTCTCGTCGCGATGCCGTGGCGTCGCGTGTCGTGGCGTCGCGCTGTCGTGGCGTCGACGTCCAGCCGTGGCGGCGTCAACGACGTCAAGCCGTGGCAGCGTGACGGCGCCGTCGTGCTGCAGTGGCGACGTGCTGTCAGTGCGCGTACAGCACGGATGGCAGCGGCCAACGCCGCGTCTTAGCGCTGGCCAGCACGCCTGCATGCAGCCAGCGTGCCACACGGGGCGGCACGCTCCCGGGCTCCGCTGCTGAAGCCCCGCCCCCTTCCTCTGCGTCCCCTCTTCCTCGCCGCAGCCGACGGCTGACTCGCGCCGACCGTCCCACCGTCGTGGAGCCCGGCCACGCCGCTGAGTGCTGCGAGCTCTGCCGCCGCAGCTGGTGCCGCTGGCCACGCTGCCGCCGTCGCTGCCGTTGCAACCGCTGTCGACGTCGCCGCCCCACGCGCCGAGGGGCTGACCCTGCTGAAGTAGCCGCCGCTGCTGCTGAGTATGGGGGTGCTAAGCTTAGGGGGTGTGTGGCTTTGTGTGCTGTGTGTGGTGTGTGCTTTCGGCTACCAAGCCTACGGGGTGTGTTAAATTATATCTTATATATAATTGTAGGCTTGGTAGGTATTACTGGAAACTACTGTAGAGGGTACAACTCCCTCCTTGTATCCCTCTCACTTCTAATCTCACACTCTTCTCTCTCGTCAATTTCTCCCTCCTAAACCTCACACCATTCCATGGCTCCTACTCCTACCTAGTTCATTTTAACAGGAAGAATGACCTCCAACCACATTATATAGTCGGAGAAGGGCGAATAGCGCGCTTCGACATTGCCAAGATTGCCTTACAAGCAGCTTCCCGTTCACAATACGCAATTTTAAAAGTGCAACACTTTAAATTTTTACATATTACTGGTATTGCTGGTAGACAGGTCGTCGAACTACCAGCAATACTGGTGCGCTCTCCCAGCCCAACCCAAAGGCTACTTCATACCATACACTCCACCCCGGATCAACAACAGCCCTTTTATAACTGCATCCACCCACCCACCCTAGTGTTAACGTAGAAACGAATGATTACTAGAGGTGGAAACCTAGAACAAATACTAGTTGGTTGTACTCACTAGAAGCATACCTCAGTCTAGCCTATAACTTCTACATAGATAATATGTATAAGTTGACACACCCCCTAGGCTAGACAAGGGGTGAAACTAAACAAGAAGCAAACAGCTCAGGGCGGCACTACTAGTCCAACCACTGAGGCAGGGGTCTGGAGACCAGTCAGCAAGAATACAACCAAAACTGAAGCAAGCCAGGGTGGCACTACTAGTCCAGCCACTGGAGGAAAGGCCACAAGGCCAGTCTGAAAAGCATATATAATAGAGAGTACACAATCAGGATCCTAACAGGGGAGCAGCTACAGGAACAAGACCAAGCTGTACACAGTGCCGCTGATGATCTTTAGGCGCAAGCGCCTTAGTAAAGATATCAGCTGTGTTGGCACCTGAGGCCAAGTGAACTACGCGGGCCTGGCGGCGCTGCTGTAGCTCACGCAGGAGAAAGTACCGCAGCTGGATATGCTTCGCTCTGCCCTCAAGCCGAGGCTCCTGACACAGGAGTATCATGGCCCTGTTGTCAGCGTACAGGACCGGGGCAGAGCTAGGCCGCTCACCTAAGTCTGTGAGCAAGAAGGTCAGCCAGCGGAGCTCCTGTGCCGCCATGGCACCAGCGTAGATCTCAGCCTCACAGCTAGACTGAGCCACAGACGACGAGCGAGTGGATCTCCAAGAGATAGCACCCGAACCAAGGCTGAAACAGTAGCCCTGCGACGACCTGAGCGTCTCAGCGTCGTCTGCCCAAGAAGCGTCTGTGTGCCCAGTAAGGACCACTGGCCTGCGTCCTCCTAGCACTAACCCCATGCCTGATGTACTAGCAAGATAACGCAAAACCCTCTTAGCGGCAGACCAGTGCTGAGGTCGTGTCTGCCTGTAGCCACAAAGCGAGCCAGGATGCTGAGAGGGTATGCGAGATCTGGGCGAGTGCAAGTCATCAGGTACATGAGGCAACCCACCAGCTCTGCGTGGGGCCACTGGGCTCTACTGGCTCCTCAGGAACGGGAGCAGAGAGCCCATGGTCTACGGGTAGAGGTGTGGGCTGTGCGGAGGAGAACTGAAGACCGAACCTCTGAAGGACCTGACGCATCAAGTGTGACTGGGTCAGAGTGATGGTGCGTGCTGCTCTGTCCCTAGAGATCTGCAGACCAAGATAGCGACGCAGCTCTCCAAGGTCAGTGCAAGTGTGTCTCTTCAGCAGCTCGGCCTTCACAGAGGCCAGTGCGTCCCTGTCAGGAGTAGCGAAGACCAGGTCGTCTACGTAGACAAGGATGTAGAACGGAGTCTGGCCGGAACGCACAAACAGTGAAGGGTCAGCAGAGGACGGAAAGAACTGCAGGTCTGCTAACGTGGCACGTAGCGTGTCGTGCCACTCGCGGGAGCCTGACGCAGGCCGTAGACCGGGCGCCTGAGAAGCCACTGGGTCCCAGGAGGGAACGTACCAGTGAAGCCCTGTGGTCGGCGCAGGTAGACCTGCTCGTGTAGGCTGCCCTGAAGAAAGGCAGTAGAGAAGTCGAGGGAGTGAAGCTCGTAGTCACGCTGTGCTGCTACGTGTAGCAGCGCCCGAAGAGTGGTCATCTTCGGGGTCGGGGCGAAGGTCTGGAAGAAGTCAACCCCCTCGCGCTGACTGAAACCTCTGGCCACGTAGCGCGCCTTGAAGACAGGCGGCTCTCCAGGGGGGCGCTTCACCTTGAAGAGCACCGACCATCGACTACGTTCACCCCAGGCGGGGGAACTGCGTCGACGTAAGTGCCGGTGGATCTCCAAGATGCCATCTTCTGCTCCATGGCAGCTATCCACTGAGAGGCCCAAGGTCCCGAGGTGGCCTCAGCGTAGGTGCGAGGGGTCGGGATGTCGAAGGCGTCTGGGTCACCCTCAGGGACTAACAGCATGGAGCAGCGATGGGGAGCAGCCTCGGAAAGGAAAGCAAGCTCGTACTGCCTGTCCTCTAGGACATCACTGCCAAGGGCAGGAGCACCCCCGACGGACAGAGGACGGGCAGGGTCAGAGACCAGAGCGGTAGCGTAGTCAAGGCGGCGGGTAGAAGCGAAGTCAGCGACAGCAGCGACAAGCGCGTCAAGGCGCGAGACAGGAACAGCAGGGTCGATAACAAGAGAGGCAAGGACCCGAGGGACAAGGGGACGAGCAGCACGGAGGTAGTCAGAGAACGGAGGAGGTGCAACAACAAGGGACGAGGGGAGGGGACGGGAGGAGGGGAGGACGAGACGAGTGGGAACGGAGCAACATAGGGTGGGTGGGCAGGACAGGAGAGACGGGACGAGCACGGGAGGGACGGCGAGCCCAAACGTGAGACGGAGGGGTAGGGTCAGGGGACAGCGGAGGAGACACAGGAGGGGAACGAGGAGGAAGACGGGCCGGAGACGAGTCTGGCGGCAACACAGGACCGTAGACAGGGAGGTCAGGAGGCGGTGGGGGAGACACCGGCGCGCGGTCCGAGGAGGGAAGGCCGAGCAGGCGGAGAGCGGAAACCGGCGGCGACGGCTGCTGCGGCGGCGACGACGGCTGGGCCGGAACTCTCGGACCAGCAGAGGCAGAACGACCGTCGGCAGAACACTCAACAGCAGCACCCCCAGAACCAACACCCCAGAGCGAGAACCCCCTCCAACACCAGCGGCACCCCCAGAAGCCGCAGGACGAACACCCTCCTCCACACCAGCACCCCCAGGGGCCGAGAGCAGCGGCGGCAGTGGCGGCAACGGCTGCGGCGGCGACAGCGGCGACGGCTGCGGCAGCGACAGCGGCGGCGGCGGCGACGACAGCGGCGACGGCTGCGGCGGCGACGGCGACGGCGGCGGCAGCGGGGTCGGCGACTGCGACAGTGGGGGCGGAGGCACCGGGGAAGGGGACGCGGCAAGGACGGACCGGGGGTACCACCAAAGTCAGCAGACTCCTCAACGGGGACAACCGACGGGAGGGGAGTGACGTGGGAGACACCAGACGGGGCAGGACGAGGCGGGAGAGGGGCAGGGGCTACCGGGGGAGAGGGAGCAAGGAAAAGGGGGGGGCAACTGGGAGACCTCGGTGAGGGAAGCGGCGGTAGAAGGAGACGGACTCGTCAAAGGTGACGTCACGAGAGTGGAGGAAGCGGTGAGACGGCGGGTGGTAGAAAAGCCAGTCAGACGAGTCCAGGGGGAAACCGAGGAACAAATACTAGTTGGTTGTACTCACTAGAAGCATACCTCAGTCTAGCCTATAACTTCTACATAGATAATATGTATAAGTTGACACCTAGTGCTGTCTGTGCCACTACACAGTCTAGACTCAAAAATCAATTTTCCGTGCCTCTACCCTAGTTTGTAACAGCGGGCAGGTGCCGGTCTTTGATGACCTGCATTTCTGCAAGAACCTGCTTCATGGTGGGGCGAGCAGCGGTGCACTCGCCGGTGCAGGATTGGGCAAGCTGTGCCATCGAAACGATGAGGTGTGAGGGGTGGTCCACGGACTCCAGAAGCTCTGCCACCCACAGCTGCAGGTTGGGACTCCCACATCTCTGACTCGGACTCTTTCCCTCACCGTTCTCCGCCACCGCCGCCTCGGCCGGTGCTTTCTTGCCCGTAATTACCTCCAGAATCACCACGCCGAAACTGCGCATGGGAACGGGAAGGAAAGTGAGGAATGGGAGGTGAGGAAAAGGGGGCGTGCTCATGGGAATGGAAGAGAAGACGAGGGGGCGGTTTGGCAGCAGCAAGGCTACAGCAACAGCTGCCGCTGTGAATGAACACAGGCATTGGAGAACTCTCAAAACGAGGGAGTTTCAAGCTAGATTATGTCAGGCCTTTTGGAATTCTAAAAAACCTAACACAACCTGGCAGCAGCAGGCTACAGCACGCGCTGCCACTGTGAATGAACACAGGCAAGGGAAACTGCAAGAAACGAGAAGACAAGACCAGACCAAGACAAGACAAGAAGTGAAGATGAGCAGAGCATATGTGTACACATCACCTGTGACATAATACTCCTGTATTGAGACATCTCAAAACGCGACAGCATGGCCAGAGGGAGAGCAGAGCATACCTGTACACATCAACTGGAGGGGTAGCATTCTGTGATGTTACGTAACCCGGGTCCACATAACCCGACGACCCCGAGGCAACCCTGCGGGTGCCATGTGGGCGACCTTGGCCTGCATGGTGGCGTCCAGCAGGATGTTGGCGGGCTTGACGTTGCCGTGAACCATGTCAATGGAGTGCAGGTACTCCAGCCCCACTCCCGCCCCCATCAGTATGCCCATGCGCTCGCTCATGCTCAGGGCACGAGGGGCGTCTGGATGGAAGGATGGACCGGGGTGCGAGAGCGGGGGTTGTAGAGGTAAGGGTCGAGAAAAAAAAAAAAAAGGAAAAAAGAGGTTGAGATAAGATGTCCACACCACACCAAATGCTCCCAAATGCTCCCTCTCTATGCCAAGCCCCTCTTTCCCCACCTCTCCCCCCCTCTTCCCCCCTCTTTCCCTCTTCCCCCCTCTTTCCCCCTCTTCCCCCCTCTTCCCCCCCTCTTCCCCTTGCACGGACCTTCGCCAATCCCACTTGTCGAGGCCGCCATTGGGCATGAACTCAAACACCAGGATCTGCTCGTAGCGGCAGTTCCTAAACACGTCAGCCACAGAGCAGAACCCCAGCAGCGGCAGTAGGTTCGGGTGGTGGCTCACACCCGCCGTCCCCGCCACGGCCGCCATCGCCCGCACCTCCTTCTCAAACTGCCTCGACGGCTGCTTGGCGCGCTTCACAGCCCACTCCTCCCCGCCGCGCGCGCTCACGCCCCTGTACACATCCGCGGCCGCGCCGCTGCCGATCAGCCTCTCCTCCGCCCACTTGCCCGTCGCCTTTCTCAGCTGCCTCAGCGAGAACCGATGCTTCAGCTTCACGTCTCGCAGGCTCGCCCCGAGTCCCAATCCTGTGAGGTCCGGGAGTCCTCTGGCGGCGCTGGCAGCGTCTTGCGGCTGGTCCGGGTCGGATTCGGGGAGCGTGGCTAAGAGGCGGTCCACTCGCGCCTGAAGCCCTTCGCGAGACCCCATGGCGAGCCCGAGCATCAGCGAGGAGAGCCCAGTCAGTGCCAGGGCTACTGCCTCCGCCATTGCTGCGCCCGCGGTTCGGTCTGGTCCGGTTCGGGCAGGAGCCGCTCGTGAGGAGTGTGGAATGAGCGGCGTTAGTTAGGGCGAGGTTAGCTGCGATTTAAGCTGGGATGAAGGTGCGGTTGGGTGGATGATGGAATGCGGGAGTAATAAGTGTGGGTACTATCTGGAAGCGTCGTGTTGATAAATGCAGAGTGAGCGCTGAATGGGTAGAAGGAGTGACGGAGAGATCGAGGTAGTGAGCCTAGGAGTGTCTGAACGCATTGCTCTTTTTCGAGGAATTTATTGCACAGGTTGAGGCTAGACCGGTGGAAAGTAGAGCGCGTGGTGATCGTGGCTTGATCCACGGCAGGCCGGAGAGAGACGACTTCCGACGCTTGGCGTGGCTACCACGCAGCGTGCGAGGTAGTCTCCAATGTCTCGACGCGCAAGCGGCCATCATGGGGGATTCGCGAGGGTAGGAAGCTCGAACGGGAGGAGATAGCGGGGAAATACTGTAACACATCAGCATGCGTTTGCGAAACGCGTGGAATTCGAAGAAAAGGCACGACGCCACGCCACCTCTCACCTCCAGCACAGACTAGTCCAACCGTCTAACTTATGCGTGGATCTAGAGGATTTTGGGGTCCATGCGAGTGAGAGTCATAAGTTGGCCGTGAGACACACGGTTGAAGTGCTGTGGACATTCCCTAAGAATTCGATTTATAAACATTTGTATGTGGGTTACGAAATCCGATGCAAGCAGGATAGTTGTAAGGAATTAGGATTTCCTTACTGGGGCTCGCCACAGCGAGTACACGCGAACAGTCCGCGTCCGCAGGCTCGGCCCTTGGTTCTCGCGCCAAACCAGCCCCCGTCGAGCTTTTCGGCCCCAACTTGATCCCGAGTCGCCTCAAACCTAATTTGACCCCGTCACCCTCGGGACTGTTGAGCCCTTGACTGGTCCAACCCTCGACATTCAATCCTGGTCAACTCACACTATATAAGCCATAGGCCTCATTATTATGGAGACATTCTGTAATCACGTTCCCCTATAGTATTTTGCGCTATACTCTGAGTTATGATTCATAACAATAGCTGTAAGGAATTCTATTCCTTGCCGGGTTGTACTGCATCTCGTGTCAACAAACATATGTTACAATATATCTATATTTATTTAGGGTAGACATGTTTGTTATATTTAGCATAGCCATATTAGCTCTTAGAGGGGACACCCCACTTCTTGTATCTCCCCTCTGAAGCATTCGCATTGTAACTCAGGCCTGTTGGGCAGAGAAATAGCCCTAGGATCTTTTGTCAACTTATACATATAATGCATGTAGAAGTTATAGACTAGTATCGGTGTGTGCTCTTAGTGAGTACAATACAACTCCTATGTATTCCCTGATTCCTCTCTAGTAGAACATTCTCGTATTCTAACATGGTATCGAGTAGGTTAGGTCCACCCACCCGCTTCCGCCCGCTGTGAGAGTACGACCTCGTTACACCAATTTCCCCTTTCCATATTTCCTTTCTATTTCATTCCTCGTTTTACCCTAATTCATTTGGTCTTTATTGTCAAACATCTGCATTTGTCATGTTTGTATAGACTGTATAGGGTTACCTCTTAGAGGGTACAACACTTAGGTATATTTGTGTGTACTCTCACTTTACCATCTATTCAATTTTCAATTCTGATATGGTATCAGACGTAGGTAGGATCCCCCCACCTACCGCTTCCGCTCATGCCCCCTAGCGCCCCTCCTGGGCCCCGTCGCGCTCCTCTCAGGCCCCCTAGCGCCCTCCCAGGCCCCGTCGCGCTCCTCCCAGGCCCCGTCACGCTCCTCCCAGGCCCCCTAGCGCCCCTCCGGGGCCCCGTCGCGCTCCTCCCAGGCCCCGTAGCGCCCCGTCGCGCTCCTCCCAGGCCCCCTAGCGCCCCTCCTGGGCCGCGCCGCGCTCCGCCCAGGCCCTGTAGCGCCCCTCCTGGGCTCTGTCGCGCCCCTCCTGGGCCCCGTCGCACCCTGCCCGACCCCGGCCCAGCCGCCCGGCCCTGTCGCGCCCGCCCGGCGCCGTCGCGCCCGCCCGGCCCCGTCGCAGCCGCCTGGCCCCGTCGCGCCCGCCCGGCCCCGTCGCAGCCGCCTGGCCCCGTCGCCCTTGCCCGGCCCCGTCGCAGCCGCCCGGCCCCGTCGCAGCCGCCCGGTCGCCGTCCCGCTCGCCCGGCCCCGTCGCACCGGCCCCGTCGCACCGGCCCGGCTCTGCCGCACTCGCCCGGCCCCGTCGCCCCAGCCCGGCCCCGTCGCGCCCGCTCGGCCCCGTCGCCCCGTCCCGGCCCTGTCGCACCAGCCCGGCCCCGTCGCGCCCGCCCGGCCCCGTTGGGCCAGCCCCGGCCCCGTCCTCCTCACTGGTACGGTTCCCCCCCACCCCGCCCTGCTCCGTGCCGCCCCGCACCACACTGTACTGCCTGGCACCGCACTACACCGCACTACACTGCACTGCACCGCACTGCACCGCACTGCACCGCACTGTACCGCACTGCACCGCACTGCACCGCACTGCACCGCACTGCACTGCCCTGCACTGCACTGGACTGTTCCTGATGGCGGCGGAGCTTCGCTTCGACGCTGAAGGCCAGCCCCTAGAGTTCGAGGCGTGGCTTGCTGACCTCCGCCGTCAACTCACTGGCCAGCGGCAGGATGGTGAACCGCTTTCCGCACACCTTGACGGTACGCTCCCCTGCCCAGACCCCCCTGCTATTCTGCCCGCTGACCCCACACCCACTGAGCGTGAGGCTACTGCTGCCACTGCCCGTGCGCGCTCTGTCTGGCTTTCTCGCGATGCTGTTGCCCAGCTTGCCATTAGCAACGCCCTTCCCCCATCCGAGCGTCCTCGCTTTAGGTCCCTCACTACTGCTCAGGCATACTTAGATGCTGTGATCAAGCGCTATTCCACCCCTCCGGCTGCCTCGGTGGGTCGCCTGATCCTTCCGATGCTCTTTCCTGACCTTGCATCTTTCCCCACTGTCTCTGACCTCGCTGCCCACCTGCGCTCGATAGATGAGACCTGGCGCGCTGCCTGCACTGACGCCCAGCTTAGAGCCCACCAGCCGCCCATTACCTCTACCCTCTACCTGCTTGCCACCCGCCTCCCTGACCGCCTTGCTGTCGCCCGCGACCGCTTTCTTAGCGTTCACCCCGCAGACCTCACCCTCACTGACTTTGTAGACACCCTGACTGTGATAGAGACCCGTCACCGCTCCATTGCCCAGGCGAGCGGTGTCGTGCCGGTCCCTATCTTTCAGGGTTGTGCCCCCGCTCAGTGCACCTTCTCCGACGGCTCTGCCGCAGTGGCTGAGACTGCTGCTGCAGCGCAGGTCCGTTCGGGGAAGGGCCGCCGCCCCAAGGCTGGGCGCGGCGGAGGAGGCGGCGGGGGTGCGGGCGGGGGTAGTGGTGGGGTCGGGTCGCCTGGTGCTGGAGTGGACGAGGGGACCCTGCCCAGTTCCGCTGAGTCGCCGCCCCTGCAGGTGCAGCAGCCGCAGCAGCCGCCGCAGTCACAGCCTTCGCAGCAGCCGCAGCAGCCGTCGCAGACGCGGCAGACGAGTGTCCTCCCGCCAGGGTGGCCCGGCGCTGGCGGTGGCCGGGCGCGTGGTGGTGTGCCGCGTGGTGGCTCTGGCGGCGGGCGTTGCCAGTACCAGATCCAGACCGGTCCTCGCCGCGGCTTCGTTTGCGGTAAGCTCGGTCACTCCACTCCCCGCTGTTTTCGTCGCCTGGACGACCTCTTTCGTCAGCGCTTCGGCCCGTCGCCAGACCTCCCGGACTGGCACAGTTTGCTTAGTCGTCAGATTCAGATTTTTGATATGGACATGGATGCCATTGTTTCTGCTCTGCATGTGATGTATGCTGATGACTCTAGTGTGCTTCCCGCTTATTACTCACTGTTGCCTAGTGTATGTATGCCTAGCTTAGCCTCCCCTGCTGCGTCAGGCGTAGGATCCCCTGCTTTGTGTAGTCTTGGTGCTTCCGCAGTCGTTCCGTCGCCAGACCCCTCGGCTTCGCTTTCCTTCACTTTGGACTCTGGCGCCTCTCGGTGTTTCTTCCGCGACTCCACCACCCTAACGCCGCTTCCTGTTCCTGCTGCCGTTTCTCTTGCTGACCCCTCTGGCGGTCCGGTAGTCGCCCGCAGTTCCACCACCCTTCCCTGTCCGGCGGTTCCTTCGGGTTCTCTTACAGGTCTGCATATCCCCTCGTTCTCCAGGAACCTAGTTGGTGTCGGCTGCCTCCAGGACCTTGGCGTCACCACTACGTTCCCTGGTCACGAGCGGTATGCTGTCTGTACCGAGGCCGCCACTGGTGCCCCCCTGTCCACGTTCCCCCGGGACACGGTGTCCGGCCTGTTCACTCTGGACACCGTGACCCCCCCGGCTGGAGCGCCCCCTCAGGTGGCTGCGTCTACCCAGGTTGCTGCTGCCTGCTCCTGTCGCTCCCTCACTCACCCGACCCTCCTGTGGCACCACCGCCTAGGTCACCCTGCGCTCCCGCGTCTGCGTCACATGTCTCAGCACGGTCTCGTCCTTGGTCTCCCAAGTTCGCTCCCCGCGTTTCCCTCCTCTCCAGCCCCACCTTGCACGCCTTGTGTCGAGGGTCGGCTTCGCCGTGCCCCTCACTCCTCCTCGTTTCCCCCTACCCCCGCGCCGCTGCAGACCCTGCACCTGGACGTCTGGGGCCCCGCCCCCGTCCCTGGGCCGCGTCGAGAGCGCTACTTCCTTGTGCTTGTCGACGACTTCACTCGTTACACCACCGTCTTTCCCCTGGAGCGCAAGGCCGACGTGCCTGGCGCTCTCATCCCCTGGCTTGTCTCTGCGCGTGTCCACCGCGGTCTCCCTGTCTTGCGTCTTCACTCAGACCGTGGTGGCGAGTTTGCCTCCGGTGTCCTTGGTCGCTTTTGTCGTGCGGAGGGCATCACCCAGACGTTCACCCTACCGGACTCCCCACAGCAGAATGGGGTCGCTGAGCGACGCATCGGTTTGGTCATGGAGGTCGCTCGCACCTCCATGATCCATGCCGGTGCACCCCATTTTCTGTGGCCGTTCGCTGTGCGCTACGCTTCTCACCAGCTTAACCTGTGGCCGCACCCTCAGCAGCCGCAGGTTTCGCCGACCCGTCTTTGGACTGGGTCCCCTGGTGACGCGTCTGCGTTCCACGTCTGGGGCTGCCTTGCTCACGTCCGTGCCTCCGGCACGGACAAGCTCACTGCCCGCACCCTTCCCTGCGTCTTCCTCGGTTTTCCCCTTGACGCGTCCGACTGGCACTTTTACCACCCGCCGTCTCACCGCTTCTTTCACTCTCGTGACGTCACCTTTGACGAGTCCGCCTCCTACTACCGCCGCTTTCCCCACCGTGGTCCCCCGGTTACCCCCCCCCTGTTCCTGGTCACCCCTTCCCCGGTAGTCCCTGCCCCTCCTCCTCCTCCTCCCCGTCCCGCCCCCTCTGGTGTGTCCCACGTCACCCCCCTTCCGTCCGTGGACCCGGTTGAGGAGTCTTCTGCCTCTGGTGGCCCTCCTGTGCAGTCCTCGCCGGCCGCCCCTCCCCAGGTGTCCCCTCCCCAGTCCCCTCCTCCACCGCCCCTACCGCTGCT